ACAAGGGTACTTGTAACTGGTACCGGACCAATGGGTTGTGTTCCAGCAGAACTGGCCCAGCGAAGCAGAAATGGCCAATGTGACGCCGAACTCCAACGAGCTGCAGGCCTTTTCAATCCACAGCTTACTCAAATGCTACAAAACCTCAACAGGAAAATAGGCAGGAATGTCTTCATTGCTGCAAACACAGAACTAATGCATAATGATTTCATCAGCAATCCCGGAGCATATGGTAAACAGATAATATTGTTCAGCAATTTCATTTTCTGAGGGAAAATCTACACTTTTTATTGACTTAATTTTCCATGGTTTGGCAGGATTTGTTACCTCGAAGGTAGCATGTTGTGGTCAAGGTCCATACAACGGGCTCGGGCTATGCACACAGTTGTCCAACTTATGCCCCAACAGAGACCAGTATGCTTTCTGGGATCCATTCCATCCATCTGAAAAGGCTAATAAAATTATTGTCCAGCAAATCCTGACCGGCACAACAGAATACATGACGCCGATGAACCTAAGCACCATTTTAGCCATGGATTCTAAGGTGTAATCATCGACCTCAATGTTCATCCGTGTCAGTGTTTCATTTTTAAAAAAATTTCAGACGCCAATAAGTCCAGTTGTTTGTACACCTGCAACATTTTCCAGAAGTATCAAAAGGAATTTCATAGCAATGTCCTTGCTAAGAATTACCAAAAAGTGTGATGTAGTTCTACATTGATAGGAAATACGTACCTAAAGGCTAAAAGTGTGTCGATTGAAATGTTAATAAAATTCACCGGATGTTTTCAGCACCATTTATTTGAGGATTAAGATCGTACATTTCATAATGCAGTATCATATTTTTTTCAAAATTCAAAGTGACCATCATGATATTTATTAATATTCCGAACAAGTTTCCTGGTTCTCTTGGGCAACATTAGCAAAGCCAAGACCAAAACAAAGTATACCAAGAATTACTAAAGCCACATGTTGGTCTCAAGATCGATAATACACAAAGTAAATTTGTTCAAAACTGTAAAAATCGCAGAAAGTAATAACACAAAGAATTTTCGGCTCTTAGGGCCCGGATGTTCAGCCGAAACCTACTCACCCGTTGAACATCTACGAAGTAGATTTGGCTCAAAATCCACTGAGAATCACAAAGAATTGATTCAAAATGTATGAAGAAACGGAGTTCCTTCACTTATGTTTTCTTTCGCCTCCCTTTAGAAGAAATGTTGCGGAAACTCTCTCAAAAGGATCTTCAAACGGTGGTTTTCCAGGCTCAGTCCAACGTACCTTTCTTTACCAACAACCAATCCAAACGGCTCCAAACCACAACCAGTTGATTCACCTTGGTTGCTATTCAATCTTACCCACGTAGGACAAGAAGGGACGATGATTTATCGCCACAAAGGCTAAGAGAAGACACCACAAAGGTATACTATGAAAGAACCACCAATTGCACACATTATACAAGCGTTCTGGACACTTTTGGACACCTTTTTCTCACACAAAAGGGGGGGCAGTCGGGATTCACTAGTTTCTTCTCTCAAAATCACACAATCATCATGTCAAAGAGGCTAGGGTTATATTCATATATATACTCTAGGGTTAGGCTTTAAGTTGAGCCATTAAAGGGGTAAACGGGCCAAAATTCAAGCCATCCATAAAGAATACAATTGGGCCGAGTGTAGCTCGTGGACTTGGTTGTTGGACTTATTTCATTCATCGACCTATGCCTATGAAATAATATTAACCCACGTTAACATCATAGCCCGAGATTTATTGGGTATCAAAAACCCAACAAGAAATTGCTCTCCTCACAATCTCTCATACTGTATACGAAATACAATTCAATCATCACTAAAAATTTACAGAGATTGGACTCAAAATTCACGAAGTAGTAAGAACCATCAAGAAAGGAGACAAAGAGAAAACCCTAAAAGAAAATGAGACTGTTATACATCTCAAAGAGGCAAGGGATGCCTTTATAGTCCAGTTAAAACATCTAGATCCAACGGTCCAGATTGAGCTAGATGAAGGGCCAACAATTAATCTCACATTTTAGAGAATAAGCCCTTGTTTGAGCCCCATTCTTTGAGGAAAATGTATTTTTCTACAGTGATTTGACATCATTTTAACCACATATTTTTCAATAAAATAATATTACACGTAAATCTAAAACTTTTCCTTATTTTTTAATCACACATTTTCCATCAATACACTATTCAAAAATTCATTTTCCCCAAAAAAATGGGGCTCAAACAAGGGCTAAGTGCATTTATCAGAAACACGCTTTTACTTAAGTCCAAAACCCGATGGCCCAACAAATAGTCCAAAATTCAAATGAATTCATCCCAATCAAGAATAGAGAGACAGTCCACAACAATCTCCACCTTGCTGATCTATTCTTGAAATCTTTTTGTGGATTTAAAAAAAAAAAAACCAAAACACTTGTTCATTTGCTCTACACAACCTGTAAGAAAAAGAAGAACAATTAGTTTATATTCCAAAAACAATACACAAGAAAAGACTAAAATTGTATCATTTACCTTCAAGAGATGTTCAGAATTTTTAAATAGTTCTTGAACTTAATTAAGGGCAGTACCTTAATACCAATATCAGAAGTATAAATTCAGTTGGGATTTGAACCAAATTAATAAGGCATTTTTCAACAATACTTCTGACAAAATGAAATTTAATGTCAACATGCTTAGTTCGATCATGGTATACGGGATTTTTGCTCAAATGAAGTACTTTAGTTGTCTGTATAGATTCTAACAACCTCATTCACAAAGCCAATTTCATCCAACAAGCCCCTTAACAATGATCCTTCTTTAACAGCATCACATGTTGCGATATACTCAGCTTCTGTAGAAGATAATGCTACCAGTTTTTGTAATTGTGACTTCCAGCTAATACAGCCATCATAAAGAGTAAATACATAAGAAGAAGTTGATCTTCTTTTATTTAAATCACCTGCAAAGTTAGAATCTGTATAGCCCTTTAGAATAACACTTTCATTACATTTTTGAAATTTTAATCCCAATTCTGTTGATCATTTTAGGTATCTAATCATCCACTTAATTGCTAACCAATGAGTTTCACCTGGATTAGCCATAAATCTACTAAGAATGCTTATTCCATGAGCTAAATCAGATCTAGTACATATCATAAGGTACATAATTGAACCAACAACATTAGCATAAGGTATTTTACTCATTCTATCATACTCTTCATCAGTTTTTGAGGATTATTCATTAGAAAGCTTGAAATGATTTGCTATGAGTAAAGTCACAGGTTTACATTCAATCATAGCAAATTTTCCAAATATCTTATTTTTATAATAATTTTGATTTACATACAAAATGCAGTTTTTTCTATCTCTCTTAATCTCTATTCCTAAAATTCTTTTTGCTTGTCCTAAATCTTTCATTTCGAATTCAGTTTTGAGTTTATCTTTAACAAAATCAATTTCAAATCTATTATGGCAAGCAACAAGCATATCATCAACGTATAGAAGGAGATAAAGAGAATCAGGTCCTCCTCACCCTTTGAAGAAAAAACAAGAATCAAAATTACTTTTAATAAATCCTAGATTTTGAACAAAAGAGTAAAATTTCTTATACCATTGCCTGGGTGCCTGTTTCAAACTATAGAGTGACTTTTTTAACAAGCAAACCTGGTCAGATTTTCTGTTCATTTGAAAACCCTTTGGCTGATTCATATAGATGGTTTACTCAAGATCACCATTTAAGAAGGCTGTCTTAACATCAAGCTGGTCCAATTCCCAGTTCAAGTGTGCTGTTAAGGCTAACAAAATTCTGATAGAGGTGTATTTAGCAACAAGTGAAAATATCTCATTATAGTCAATTCCCTCTCTTTGTGTAAAGCCTTTTGCCACAATTCTGACCTTATACCTTATACTCCTAGTTTACCCTCTTTAACTTTGTAAACCCATTTACAGTCAACAACCTTTTGATGTTTAGGTGTATTAACAAGGATCCAAGTTTTATTCTTTATTAGGGAATCCATCTCCTCTTGCATGACATCTATCCAAAATTTTGATTCTTTACAATTCACTGTCTCTTCAAAGGTTGTAGGTTCAAAATTAACAAATTCAAGTCAGTATAGAAAGTCACAAATTCATCTGGGTTGATTCTGGTGGAAGGGAATCTGTTCCTTCTACCTCTGTCCCTAATCACCTGATAATTGTCAAGAACGGTTTCTTGAGATTGATTTTCAGTATCAGATTCATTGTGGAGCTAAATTATATCAGATTTAGTGTTCTCTACCTCAATCAAATTATCTGGTTAATTAGAATCACTTTCCAGATTCTCAAGGACAGTTTCTTTAACATGAGTTATCCCCATTTGTGTTTTGATCGGATGAATTTTTGCAAGGAAACTGACTTTCATCAAAGATTACATTTCTACTAATAATAAATCTGAACCCATCTTTACCTTTCACTCATAGCCTATACCCTTTGTTTCTTCTCCATAACTCAGAAAAACACATTTTTGAGATTTGGGTTCAAGTTTGCCTACATCTTGATGAGAGTAGGTAGCACATCCAAAAACCCTTAGTTTAAAATAATTTTGAGACTTTCCAGACCACAAATATTCAGGGATTTCAAAATCAATAGCACTTGAGAGAATTCTATTTATCAGATAAGTGGCAGTTTTTAAAGCTTTCCCCCAAAATAATTTTGGAAGACCAGAACTAAGTAGCATACACCTAACCTTTTCCAACAAAGTTCTATTCATCCTTTCAGCAATGTCATTCTGTTAAGGAGTGTATGTTACAGTTCTGTATTTTAGAATTCCAGATTCTTTACAAAAGGAATCAAATTCAAAGTTACAAAATTCAAGCCCATTATCTAATCTAAGTGCTTTGATTTTCTTATTTGTCTGATTTTCTATCATAATTTTCCATTGTTTAAAAGTTTGGAAAGTATCTGATTTGTATTTTAAAAGAAAGGTCCAAATTTTTCTTGAGAAATCATATACAATTAAAAGATAAAATCTAAAACCACATAGAGTATTTACTGATGCTAAACCCCACAGGTCAGCATGTAGATACTCAAGTATAGATGTAGATTTATGAATCCAAGTTTTAAAAGACATTTTATTTTGTTTACCAATAACACAATCTTCACAAAACTCAAGTTTTTCAATTTTATCCTTTCCAAAACATTTTAATCTGTTCAAAATAGTCAATCCATTTTCACTAATGTGGCCTAGTCTCCTATGCCAAATTAGGGTTTTGTTATCATTAGACTTCACAACTATAGAGTTATTTCCAACTAAAGGTTTAGCCTGCAGTGTGAAGATCTCATTAGATTTAGGAGAAGAAATAATTTCTTTGGAGTTTAGACTTATTTTGGTTAATCCTTTGTGGATCATAATTTCATATTCATTATCTAACTGTCCAAAAGAAATGAAATTTCTTTGAAGATCAGGCATGTATCTTGTTTGGGACAATTCAAGGATATTGTTATTTTCTAATAGAAGCTTAAGGTTTCCAATACTTTTTATTTGACAGGTCATGTTATTTCCCATTTGAACTTGACGACCACTAAGTTCAATAAAGTTAGTGAACCATTCTTTGATGGAACACATATGAAAGGAACACCCAGAGTCTAATACCCATTCATTTAGGTTCCTCTTAGATGTGGTAACAAGGACAACTCCTTGTATATCAAATTCATTATTGCAAGCAATAGCTGTAGCCCCATCTATATTTGTTATTCCTTTCATATCAGATATTTTCTTAAAGCAGTCTTTTATGAGGTGTCCAATTTTACCACAATAATAACACT